AAAAACACTTTCCCAAAGGTAAAGCAGGCTTACATTTAACTTATGTCAACAACTTAACGTATCCCCTTTAGGACTTCACAATCTTTGTGCTAAACTTGTACAGATGTCTGTAATTACCCTAGCAGGACAAGTGAGGGATTCAGCACTATGAAAGAGCCTAATGAGAAATATGCCACTTTTTGCTAGAAATATTAGGAGTAAAATGAGCTGATTAAAAAAAAAATTACATTAGAAATAATCACGTTAAAATTCTGCTGCTTGTTTATTTTAATTAAGCTATTGGAAGAATCAATAAAAGTCTATTAATTCGGAAGCTTTTTTTTTTTTTTCAGAGTGCTCTTCTAAATTGCTGCAGGGTTTGTGTAAAGAAAAGTCATGTTTTTAAAAATCCTAATAAACCAGGAATACTACACAAGAAACAGCTAATATGCTTTGAATGATAAATAGGCTTATAATAACTACCTCCAAAGATCATACTTTTGAGACTGTGTAGAGAAATCCATGCTGTTAGGAAGATTAAAGCTTTGGTATAACTTCAAGGCAGCTGTAACTTACATTGCTGATACTGTTCAAGTAAGCTTGTGGGTATATTTAAAAAAAGAAATCTCTGCATGAAATTTCTTCTTAGAAAGTGCAAAAATTCATCTCTAGTAAATATATACATATATACACCCACAGCTCAATGCAACCAGACAAGGACTAGCATACTGCAGAAAGCTCCAAAAGCTGGGTAATTGGCTGGCACCATTTGGGCAAGGCAGGGAACAGAGATTGATTCAATACGCCAGCCCGACTCTGATAATCCAGTTGAGATCAATTAACTTGCAATTAACTGTGAAGCTGTTTTCAGTGCTCTGCTACTCTACCTTTTGTTTTATTGGAAAAGCTGCTGATGTTTGAGGACTGACACAATACAGGCTTTTGTTTTCTTCTGCTTACTGACACACTAAAAATAGGCACACTTCTCATTAGCCTAGAAAGATAAGTTGTATTTTGATGGCACGGGGTTTAGATTTTTAAGTTAGATCCAAAAAACATCTTACCTCTGTGTCTTGGGCCATGTAAGCACTCTCATTTTTTCATTTCTAGTGTTGCCGATGGGCTGATATGGGGCTGTATTATTTTGTAAAACTTGATTTTCTTTGTAGCTGGAAGCTCATTTATTGGTCATTATTATGCTGAAAACAGGGATTTCAATGAATGCTTCAGAAAACCTGGTATTTCCCCTTGTGTGCTATTCCTAAAGGGTTTTTTGGAGCGGGGGAAGTTGCTTAAAAACTGTGCCCCATACACTTTCAAGGTAACCATCGAAAGTGTAAGCACAAGAGTCAGTATCTGCAATGCAAGACATTTTTGATGGCAAGAAGATGTACTGCTTACCAAATGGGTGGAAGTGAACTACAGGACGTATAACCCAACCAGGGAGACGGTTAGTCACTTGGTTATGCAGATAGATGGTCCCTAACTAGCACAAAGCTATTTTTTGTTACCTCCCAATGGGCTACACTTGCTATGGTTTGGATTCAGGGACCTGCTTGCATTAAGAGGCTCCCAGTGTGATATTCTTCACTGTTGACTTTTCAACAGGTGTAATTTATTCTTGATGTTTATGATACTTACAAGAATAAAAATAAGAAGAAATTAGAGATCTTAATCCTTTCTTGCATAAGCAATCTTCTTGCTCTAAGGGTCACCCTCTTCATTTCAGATACATTCCTAGGGGTTTCCAAGGGTTTTCTGCAATCTGGGTTCAGAGAGGTCTTAGGGAACAGTAGTTCTTTAAAAGTTACCTTCTTCATTTTGTTTTGACTCTGATATGGCTGCAAACGTGTTATGTCAGAAAAGAGAAAAAGAGAAGTATGTTTTTATTGTTGCTTATTGCTAACAGTATTTCTTTTGTGGTGTTTTTAATCATCAGCTGTCAAAGTGTTTCAAAGGATACTATTGCCCCCATTTTACAGATGGGGAAACTGAGGCATGGAGAAATGTCTTACCCACAGCCACTCAGGAAGCCAGTGGCAGAAAATGGGTGATTCCAGTAACCCAAGTCCCTGGCATTTCATTTCAGTGCTCCGGCAGTCAAACACCTGTTTAGTCTTTGCAATCTAGCAAGTTACCCACCTCTCCCTTATTAAGATCCAGCTATTGCTGTGCCTCCATTTTCTCATACCAATTGGAAACAAAGTAAAAGCGCTCACTTTTCACTACGTTACTGCCTCTGCTGCTGTCTGGAGTGTGGCTGTGAAGTCTATGTGCTTAATGCTTATGGGCTCCATCCTAGTGATGGAGTTAATGAAAAAGCCCTCTAAGGGAACTGGCTGCACTTTTTGGCAGCTGGTGGGAAGGCAGGAGCCTTGGGATCTGCTGCAGATGGAGCCTGGACCACCAGCAGCAGCTGTGGGTGGCAGATGTTGGGAGAGACTGCTGCTGAGACCCGTTCTCTGGTCTTTGTGCCTTGCAGCAGAGCAGTGAGGCAGTTCAACCAAGAAACCATGCAAAGGTGTACGTAGAGTACGGGGATGGCGTGTGAAAGGTTGGAGGCTGAGAGAAGGTGGGTTGTAGGACTAACTGAGGGCTTTGTAGAGGGTAGGGATGAACTCTTCAAAATGGAAAGGAATTTTGGCAGTTACTTTAATTGGGGCTTGTATAGCTGAAGGGATTAGTGACAGGATATAATAGCTTTAATCTGGGTGTTTGCTAGGTTTGAGATAGGTCATGGTTTGGAAGAGATTACCATGTTGGCTGTAATTTAATCTACATGCAGTTATGCTGTGGTCTGCACCCAGACCTCTGCAGGCAGCCGTATGTGTCACAGAACTTGCCTTGTGGAGGTCAGGGTCTTTCCTCTGTCCTCTAGACCTCTGCAAGTGAAGTAGAGCAGTTGAAAGTACCTGGAGGGAGAAAAACCTTCTGTCCTCCTGTTCTCCGTGGGGTCTCTCCAATTAAGGAGGTATTTTAGAGAAGCAAACCGTATGTCTGTGATTCAGGATGGGTTTGTAGACTGCTACTATGGTGAATATAGTCACTGCTCCTGGGGCATATTATTCTGAGTGTATGATACCGGTTCACCAAAGAGGATTAATGTATAGACCTGAAAGGGTTCCTGAACTCCTGCTACTCCTCTTTTCTGAACTACTCTGCTTCTCTTGTATCTGGTTCTTGCTGAACAGAGAATCATAGAAATGTTGGTTGGGGAGGGACCCTGGAAATGGTCTTGTCCAAGCTCCCATTCAGAAGACTATCACCACCACTGTAGATCAGATCAGCTGTTTTGTGTAGTTGAGCTGTGAAAACCTTGAAGAATGGAGACTACAAAACATGGCAAAGTGTATAGAAAAAGGCTCAAAGGCTCCTGGAAATTGTGTGCTCTTGGGGGTTTCATTTAGATTACAAAATTGAGTTGTGGGTTTCGAAGGATCACAGCAGCAGACATCGTAGATCTGTTACACTTTTTGCCTGTGCTGCCTCTTCTTCTTTGGGCAAACCCTATCTCTCTCTGGTAGCTCTGATTTTCTCCATCTATTCTGACTGATGGATTTGGTAATTACTTGTCACCAATTCATGACTAAACTCACTGCAGATTATATTGTATGAAGCTGCTTAAGTACTAAACAAACACATCAGGTTCTGCATGCTCAGAGCAGGACAAACCAACCATAACCATAATGTAGGTGTCATCAGCAAAGACTGCTAATCCTAGAAAAAACCTACTTTGACAGGCTGGGAGTGTATCTAAACTGACTTGATAGGAGCTGACTGTCACAGAGTGATTCTTGTCTTCTGACTTTAAGTGATGTAAGCTGAGTCTGCTTAAAGTCTCCATTAGGGAAGAGCAGAGCTCCTGCTAATTCTTACCGGCACCTGGCTCTGTATAGATTGTCACACATGGTTCTTGCAAGAATTGTTCATGCCGCAGCAAAGACAGCATTACAGAGTCCCTAATGTGAATTAAGTGCTAGCACAGCATGGATGAAGGAGTGAGTTACACTTACAGTGCTGAATATGCTGATGAACTTGCAGTGATCAAATTCTCCACTGTTATTTAAGGTCTGGGACCTGCTCTACACTAAGGAGTTGGAAACCTTTTTCTGTACTATGGACCTGCATTGCAAATCCTGCAAACAATGAGGTTATTCTGCAAGACTGTCACTGTGTAGTAATTGCAAACACCCAGTGAGGTCCCTTTGCTCCCACTGCCCCATTTTTAACCCTCTGTAGTCATGCTTCTAGACATGGTAAAGCTGTTTCTCTTATCCTGCCCACAGCTTGATTGTGAGGTGACCAAACAAAATGTGGTTCGTGATGGAGTTGGTTCATGACTGTATTTGCTTTCAGATGCATTAGGTGAACATAACCCCATGACTAACATGTTCTGCCATATTTCACGGTTATGACTGTTACCACATAGATAGATAGAGCAAGCTAGGATTGGTAGGGTGCTGACTTTTACTATTGGTAAGCTTGTATGTTGTACTCAGTTGACCACTGTGTACAGAAAACCAGAAATATGAAGCTGTAGATCCAGGCTTTATGTTTAGACAGAATGAAAACTGGTTAATTTTGCTGAAACGGGCTCGTGCATTTTTCTTTTATTTCAATTTATCCTCTCTCTTTCTAACCAGAAAGTATTTCTCAGCCCCCTCTGCTCTACTGAATGTAGGAGAGGACCAAACGGTACACTCAAACTGAAAGGTACTGGCATAACTTTGGACACAGAGATTTCAGCCGTGCTCTAAGTACAGTGCAACGCTGTTGTGGTGCTCATGTACTAGATATAGCTCCATTTGTACATCTATATTTCTTTGAGAGAAAACAATGGTAAGCATATACAACAATGGTATGCTTAGGTGCTTTATAAACTATGTGGAAAATATAGGACTTTGATGGACATATTCCGGTGAATCATAGGCCTTCCCCATCCCCACAAGAGAAAGGAAACTTGTCAAGTACTTATTTTATTCTAAACTTTGAAATATTTTCAGTATTGAAATAAAAAAAAAAAAAATCAAAAACCAAAAAACAAACCCTGAAAATCCATCCCATTAAACATATCGGAATTCTGATGTGAAATACTTGGAAAAGACTTCTTCTGATTTCTTCCATAGCTTCATTTTATCATATAGCCAATGTTTAATTAAGGAACATGCAGTTATTTGCCAGCGAGAAACTTGTGGTGTTCACAGGCTGGTTTACATACTGGACTCCATGTGCAGTCACTGTAATATACCACAAGAATTCTTTTTTGAGGTCCAAACTCACTGTTGGCTTAAATGACCGCAGACCTGTTGAAGTAGCTGCAAGTGATGTTGTTTTTACCAGCAATTAAATTGGCCTTGCAACCACTGAAACATCTTCAGGATCATGAGCTTTATTTCAAGGTCACAAATAGAGCAAAACTGCACATCCCAGTTGAACATCTTTCTTTGACCTGCTCCAATTCTGTCCCCCTGTTCTTAAATAATCACTGTAATGGAAGCAGAGTGGCTCTGGAGTAATAAATTATAAATGCTGAGCTTCAGCCTGCTTATTGGGATGTGATTGTATACATAATTTAATGTAGTTTTCACAGATGACTATGGAACAAAGAACAGGCAATGGCTCAAAATAACCCATTTCTCCATAAACTCTTGAGGGCAGTGGAAAGATAATGCCAAAACCCCTCTCTTTGAAGGCCAAGGTAATAACGCAGAGCAATAAAACCTCTGGCTGTGTGAAAAGAGCTGCTCTCTCTAGGTGGAATTGGGGGTAGCTGAAAGACCCAGATGGAGAAGTGGACACCTGCTGCAGCATCTAAAGAGAGCAGCCTGCGGGGCATCAGCAGGTAAGGTTCCCTAGGTAACACCCGGAAAGCCTGTTTGTTCGCAAGTCCTGAATCTCAAAATGATGATGTTCCTATCGATAAAACAGCGGGGTGGGGAGGACGAGGCTGGCTGCTGGAAGGCTCTTGCTGGAAACACGGAGGTTGCAAAGCTGCTGGGAAAACGTGTTTGATACTCAGATTTTTGTAGCCTGGGGTCTAATGTGAGAGCAGAGAAGCTGGATTAATGGGAGCAAAAGGACTGATGCTTTGGGTGATGTGCTCTGAGACTGGAAAAGGGGAAGAAAAAGGGGAAACCTGTAAATGTGATAGAGAGAGTCCTGCAAGTCAAACCTGGGCGGATTGCGTGGTTCTGCAGGAAACGGTGGGGCTCTGCCTGCTTCTGCCAGCCGGGAACGGGATTTCAGCGGCAACGGGGCTGTGCCGCTCTGCGGGGCCTCCTGAACTGAAGCTGCCCATGCGCCTGCTCTCAGCTGATCTTTGCTTTTGTTAACCGATTCTCAATATGGCCATAGCAATGCTTCCGTTAAAATAAACCAGTGATTTAATTCTTGGTTTAACTTCTTAGTATTACAAGGACATTACAAGTCCCATTAAGCAAAGCAAAATAAACTTTAGCCTGAACATTAGTCTAGCCACAGTGAGTTACCATATAAAGGCATAGTTCTTAAATGTACCCAGCTCTTCCACTTGATTCATGTTTCAGCACAGTATCACACCACAGATTCAACAAACATAGATCATTTTAAATGGACAGCTATGTACAAAACTATGATACAATGTTATTACAAAACTTGAGAAATAAAGCTCTGAATTTTGAAAACACAATACTGCACATTCCCAGTTTTAAAGCAAAAGTAACATGAATTTACACATTCTGCAGCTTGAACACAAAGACTTTTGAGTGCAAGCAGCTGACAATGGCGTTCAAACCCAGAGATTTACTATAGGATGAGCTGAAAATGCGTCCAATAGAGCACTCTGGAAAATGTATTTCTGGTGCTTTAATAACAGGAACCGGGGCCTTGGTTCTCCAAAAGTTGTTGGACGCATCTGTGCATGTGAGAAGACTACTGATGAGCTTCAACTTAATTGCACATAAGCGTCATGTAGGAACCAGACACTGTTTATATGGCCATATGCTTACTAAAATACATGCTTTTTTTTTTTTAACCTTTTTTTTCCCTGTATCCGATTTCCCTTGCTTTAAATGATTGAGAGTAAAAATACGTTTGTCTGATCTGGGTCTTGGACCTGGTCCAATATAAATCATCAGTGGGCGATGAGAAGAGGGAGTAACATGCTTCCACCTGTGATGGTACAGCCACTGCTTAATTTATACCCTTAATTTAGTTGAGGCACTGCTATTTTTAAAATTTCTCTGAGCGCTAAACACTGTGGTCCTTTCTTGGGCCACACTCAGCTGTCATTTCGAGTTTGGCCTAAGAGCAGGTTCAAAGACTTGGCTTTGAGGACAGCGGGCGAGAGGTCTGACCCTTTCATGCCACCAGGCGCAGAACCGTCCCCCGTTCCCGTGGGCCCCCAGCGTAAGGCACGGGCCGAGGGGGCCGAAGTCTCAGGGGAGGCTCTTTGGGTCTTGGGGAGGGGAGCGAAAGGCTGCGCGAGGAGAAGCGGTGCGTCCTGGTGGGGCAGAGGTGACCACGGTGGCATTTTGGCGATGCAGAGCCTGGCTTCTGAGAAGCTGGCAGCACTCCGGGGACACGTGAGTGATTCACTGGGTCTCTGTTATTTCTTCTGCCTTGCCGTGACACCTGCGGGAGGAGGGGGAAATGCAAATTATTTGCAGCTATAAAACAAAAGCGGTGTGTTTTTACATGTGTGTGTATCTAATGGTCGGGATGCTACTAGGGAAACCGGTTTCAGATAACCTAAAACCAGGTAGAGCTAAATCTTTATGTACTTAATTAAAACCTCATGTTTCCAGAACTGATCCTGATGTTCAAGAGTTTGCGCAACTTTGCTTTTGAGCTGGGCACTAGTTCAGTCCAACAACATGAGTCCTGTGTTTTCCAAGCACAATATATAATATCTAGATATTAAATTGCTGAACTTACTAAATCTAGAGGATTTAGCAGGACTGTCAGAAGGATGGGGTGGCACACTGTCATTTTTCAGAGCCTGTCTCACTCCATAACCAAAGCAAATACCATTTCTAATGACAGACATGAAGGCAAAGGCCATATAGGAAGATGAGCATTAGCTTGATTACATTCTTGTGGTCCATTAGAAAACTGCCCACAGACAGTACTGAGTCTGCAGAAGGGGAAGTGAAGCATCTGGTTCTCTAGAATTAAAGAAAAACAATGAAAAACAAAAAAAAAAGAAGGAAAACCTTGACTCTCAAACCCTGCTGTCTCTTTGCAGGGAGAGGCTGATGTCCCGCTGTGCCACGTGCATGTCATAGCTGCTGGCAGGCAGCGCTGTGTCCCCCTCCTGCCTCTTCCCTCCCTCCTCACCAGGCTGTGGTCTTGGAGCACTGGCCTGTGCTCCCTGTTTGATTTGTTCTTTTATCTTCTAGGGAATAAATCAAGTAGATTTGTGAGCAAGGAAATTGCCAAAGCCTGGTTGCTCATGGACTTGCGCTTTGAAGACTTTCGTTTCCCCTAATAAGTGACATCAAGATGGCAGGAGAGGAAAAAGGGAGTTGCACAAACAGACATGAACATTTGTCTGTAGTGATTCTCTAGGGTCTAAGACGAGGGAACGCAAACAGCATCTCCCCTGAGTCCACGCATTTGTACCGTCCCTTCTCTGTCTGACCGTCACCTTTTGTTTAAATGGTCCTTCTTCAAGCTCTTTTCAGATTTGGCTGGAAATGAGTTCAGATGTTACCAGCGCACATATGAACACAGTGTGACCACCAGTGCCTCAATTCCATGGGAAAACAGGCTTAACCATTTCTTTCAGGAGCAAGGAGATAATGTGGGATACCACTCTTTCGGTGTAAAAGCTGACATTCAGAGAACATTGATACAGAAATTGCTGCATACCAAGATATAGTCAAGGCGAGGCAAGAGTTCAGTAGCTGATTACAACGCTCTTTTACTGCTCCTTAATATTATTTCATAGAGTCACGGGCTGTTCCTGCCCTTACTCTGCTGCTGTTACAGAAGCTCTAAAAACTGATAAGGGGATGGAGTCTTGATCCCCGCAGCTGGATCTGCACAAGAAGGAATAAGATTCCTGCGGCTTCACTGAGACCCAGCAACTTCAACATCCAGCAAATCCACCAGAGAGAGAAATATCCTGTACCAGAAGAGAACTGGTGCTGTGACCTGAACAGACCACGTGCACTTGGGACAATAAATAAAAGAAAAAAAAAGAGGTGGAACATCCTAGGAAAAAATATCCTGCGGCTTCACTGAGACCCAGCAACTTCAACATCCAGCAAATCCACCAGAGAGAGAAATATCCTGTACCAGAAGAGAACTGGTGCTGTGACCTGAACAGACCACGTGCACTTGGGACAATAAATAAAAGAAAAAAAAAAGAGGTGGAACATCCTAGGAAAAAATATTGACGGGGCGCTCTAGGCTTGCTGAGTCTATCATATCAAGAGGGACGGACTTGAGCTGCATTTGGGTGAGGAAGCACTGTGGCTGGACACTAAGAGAAGCAAACGGATTTTTGTTTCCTCTAACCTTTCCAAGTGACATAAAGATGGGAGCAGAGGAAAAAGGGAATTGCAAGTTTCAAGGTGCAGGTCGTCTCTGCCCTCCTGGCCCCGAAGCACAGCCGGGTGCTGCCGGCGCGATGCGGCTGCGTCAGGCGCTGCATTTCAAACATGTGCTGGAAATCCTGCCTGACTCGGTCACTTCATAAAGATACTGTTTGTCCATGCATTCCTCTATATTGCTTTCCTATGTCTTCTAAGGGGAATTCAAAGCTGTCTCTGTCTCTATTTTTTTCAAATATGACTTTTTTAAAGCCCGCATGCTGGAATCGCTGTGCTTAAAACATACATAATCCGAGTTACACTTAACTCACGGTTTCAGCTGCCCTCCCTGTACAGCACGACCACTGGTCCTGACATATTTCTTACCTGTGCCTCGCTGCTACTATTTTCTGCTCTTGTTGCAAATCTTCCTTAGGATTTTTAAACAACAGAGCTACTTCCCTTTTCCACTTGATGTAATCCTGTGGTATGGCATGGAAAGGGCCAAGAGGAGAGCAGGAGTAGTCAGGACTGTAACTACCCAATTTATACCTCCTTTTCTCTTGCTAGCAATGATGCTTCAGGTGCAGGAACAAAAGCAACCCTGTGTGGAAATCCTGCAGAGATTTCTCTGTTCTGCCACCCCAGAGGCCAGGAAGGGGTCGGGGCTGCCAGGCTGCACGGGAGCAGGGCTCCCAGCTGGGCTTCCAGCCCCGGGCACTGGGGATGCTGGAGAATGAATTTCCTTTCAGGAAATGAGACAGTGAGAGACTTGACGTTATTGATTCAGTTCATAAGAGATACTCATCAGCATGGAAAGGACAACGCATAACTATGCAATTTCAGTACAGTGGGTGTTTTGATTGTTTCTTTTTCTTGCTTTTCTTTCTACTTGCTGTAAAAACAGGCAAAGTTTTGCAAATGGAAGTCTCATCCTGAAACTCCTTAATTTTTATTTTGAGGGGCAACTGTATGTTGCCAGCATCAATGAAGGATGCAGGGAACTTGGTACACAGTTTCACTAGAAATTAGGTTTACCTGTATTATTTTTTGAGGGGACAAAAGCCAAATTACACCCCCCCGCCCCCATCCCAGAAAGCTGCATGAATGCACGTAAGAAGTATGCACGGTCTGTTTGCTCCAATGTGCTACTTCGTGTGCAACTCTGGAACTGAATTTGGCTTTGAGTTGGAGCTGGTGTCTTGCCCCAACTAGTAATTCTCCCTGGGTCCAGTGTTTTATTCTCTTTTCCAGATACCTGTATTTAAACAGTGCTATAGTAAGTGGCTACCCACAAGCAAAGCAAACATTGTTCTTCGCAGGAGGTAGGTACTGAAATTGCATTTTTACAGTTTTTGAGAAAATAATGGGATCAAAGCAAGGACTTTGTTTATCACATGAAGCTGGATTCACTTGGTTAGAATAATGACTTTTAATTATCCACAGGGAAAGGCAGTTTGGCTGCTGACACAGAGGACAGACATGTGGGTTGTGACCCTGTGTCGAGGGGAGATCAGTGCTGACTCCGCTCAACACAAGATCAACACCCTGGAGAGTAAAAATCAGAGTAACAAATTTATTTTACATGTATTTGTGATTAGATACAAAGACAAAAAGCTTAGCTGATATGCTGAATACTGATTAGGTCTGTAAAGTCCCAATGCTGTGGTTAGTTCACATAGAAACACCTTTGTGAGTTTACATACCTCATTGTACCACACAACCTTTTTTTGTTTTATTATCTCCAGTATCAGTCTCAACCTCTGCTTTTAAACAAAAGAGAGACACTAAATACAGCTGATCATGGCAAGGCAAATGTAACAACAGGGATTTTTTTACGATGAAAACATTGTCTAGTAGCAGAGAGGTTCCTAAGATGCCATCCCTGGATGCCCAGGGAGCCCCGTGGCTTTTAAGGGGGGTCAGTTCCTTAAGCCAGAAATACTAATTTCAGATGTCAGAAAAGCATCGCCACGGCTGGGAGTGTGGGGTGCTCCCGTTGCTGCAGCTCCTCCTGCTGCCTCCTGGGAAGCAAGTTTGGGAACCACTGCTCTGGGAAACCACTTCTGGTTTGTGGCTTGTTTTTTAACTAGGTGAAAGTAGCGTGTTTAGAAATGTAAATAACTACAGCCCCAGGGTATGCCGGCATTATAAGGGTAAGTCCCTCTGTGGTAGATGCTCAACCCATGCCATCTTTCTCAGCAGTGGGTATTCAAACCCTCCTTTCCTTTCTCCTCCACCTTCCTTGGAAGGAAAAACATTAAACATCATTGATAGAAAGAGACTTCCACCACTTTCCTGCCCATTTGTTTGACCCTAGAATCTTGCAGAAACCAGGCTTTGGACAGTATGTTGCATCCTTCTAAAGGCTGACAGACCCATGTGTCTTCCCTATGAGGCACCTCTAATTTGCGACTAAAGTACCCACCCAAGGGTGGCTTCAGCTCGGTAGAGCCTGAGGGACTTGGATGCACTTCCCAGGTTTGGGACCGGCTGTGGACGTTCGCCGTGAGACAGAGACCTGGGTGGCTCCACGCCTCCGGGGGCTGAGCTCTCTCCCGGCACCAGTGGAGCAGCCCAGCACAAGGGACCGATTTGGCCGGCCAAATATGATCCTTCGCAGAAGCATCAGCAAGATGCTCTTTTTCAATTGTTGACTTACTCCCGTCACCCTGCAGCGATGGCTTGAGGGCCTGATGTTCAGGAGCCACCCGAAGTACCCCTGGGGCAGGTTGTCAAGTCACTGCAGGCAAAGTGCTCTTGCAACAAGGCTTAGGAGAGGAAAAAACAAACAACCCCACTGCAGCACTGACGTTGCTGGTTTTATGTGTTTATAAGTAGTTGAGAGGGGATGATCACTGATTAAGTACCCAGTATTAACTGCTCTTAATCACTGCTCTGGAGTCTAATGGAGCTCTTGTTTGCACATAACTGTGCCTTGTAGCTGTCTTTAGCACACTTGACAGATGTGCTTATTGCTATCTTTACTGCGTATGTGTAATGGGTTTTTTAATTATTGATTCATCATTACCCTTTTATAAACTACTTAAAAATGTCAAGAGAATGAACTATGCTTGTGGGTTTTTTTTTTTAAATCTCTTTCAGGTTTAAAAAAATAACAGCTCCATGAAACAGCATTGCTCTAGGGGCAGGGGGCATTGAACCTCGAAGTGGGGAGGAACAGATATATACAAATATACGAGGAAGCCTCCCCAGTTTAACTCAGTCCCCGAGGGCTATATATGAAATAGGCTACCTGAGTAGCTTTTGCTGTGCCTCTTCTTCTTCCTCCGTTTCCCAGATGGCCTCTGCTTTTCCCTGTCGGTGTGAGTTTGCCCTGGGGGGAGTGTTGCTGAACAAGAGGAGTCGGTGGCTGGCTCCTCCGAGAAGGACTTCTCTTGAGAGGTGTCCAACAGCGAGTCTGTACCAGGGTCTTCGTTTTCCTTCGCCATCTCTTTCGACTCTGCCCGATGAGCCTCATTGCAGGGAGTGGACTGAGCACTGCCAGTGTCGACTCCAGTCTCGCTCGGCTGGGTTTCTGGCTCCTGCACCAGCCTGTAGCTCTCCGAGCCATCAGCTGGGCATTCATTGTCCTGGCCTTCTGAGATGGATCCATTGAGTTGGTCTCTCAGAGCAGTGCCTGAACTGCTGCTTGCAAACCTTATCCCTGTGCCTATGTTAGCAGCAGAGAAGGCAATGGAGCCACTCTTCGTGCTTGGCTGGAGGCTTGCCCAGCTGTCTGCCGGCTCCATCCCAGCACCTGGCATGGGCTGACTGGCCCCGTCAGCTTCCACCAAGCTTACTGAGGGGCTTTCTGTCCAGGACTCTGGTGGCAAATTTCCTCCAGCATTGTTTTTAGATAACGCCTGGTTTGAAGCTGAGGCATTTGTAACATCTCCACTCATCTCCATCAGGGCAGTGGTTGAAGGGGGAGTGCTTTCTGAGGGATGACCATCGTTGTTTTGCTTGGCCTTATCATCAATTTGCTTTCCTGCTGCTTGTGGATCCTTAATGCTCTTTCCTTTAAACAAAAAACATGCAATCAGCCACAGCTGCAGAGTTGCACCTGGGATCAGCCAAGGTGTTTCTGCCACTGGGAGAGGTTACAAGCTAGCAGCTGCCTGTGGAGGGTGCACTGACACTAAAGCAGCTATGCAGAGGCAGCACCATCTTATCCTCCCTGCACCTCCCCTCCTTATACCAGTGGTGTAAGTGGGTGACCCTGTGGTCGCCCCAGTTGGACTCCAAGGCTCCAGCTCAGCAAAGCCCCTGCTCTGTTTTCAGCAGGTATCTATGTGTCTTTGCTGCCAACCAGCTGATTTCCATGGAAGCCCCCAGACTTGCAAGGGTGCCTGAAAGCCCATGGCAGGAAGAGGGAACCTGCCTGCGAGGTCCTGAACCAGGTGGGACCACTGGCTTAGGTGCATGAGGACTTCAAAACTGCCCATCAGCCAGCCTAATCCTGTCCTTGCAAAGCATGTTTAGGGGAGCCACAGTGCACAAGTCAGGCTCTGTGGTAGGCCAATGTCCTTCAACTTATCTAATGTGCACTGACACCAAGGTCAAGAGACCAAAGAAAAGCTAAACCCATGGGCTGTCTCCTAAAAAGCACCTAAAGTACTTGGGTCCTTCTGCAAACAGGGTTTTCTAATCTTTTTTTAAGGGCTGCTTTAGACTCCCAAATGTAGACTAAGACGGGGCGCAGCAGTCTCCAAGGCAGTGGCAAGCTGTGCTACTGAGACTCGATAGCACAGAGGGGACTCACGTGGGGATGACACCAGCGCTCCGTCAGCATGGTACTGTGGCTGACCCATGGGCTGTGCCTCTCAGAGGGTTTATCAGCATGGGTGCAAGGCCATGCTGCTCCAAATTGCTGCTAATTCCAGGGCAGACCTGGCTGGCAACAGCTCAGGGCTCTCTGTTCCTCTTCTCCACAGCACTGGCTGCAGAGTGTCCTTAAATAAAATGCCCCAAATGCAAATGTGAAGGCTTCTTGCTTGTGTGCTTGGCTCAGGCTCAGGGGCAGATGGGAATGAATAGCTGCAGGTACAGTCGGGTCTGTGTCCTTACCAGACTGGCTCTCCTCCGGGCTCTCTGCAGGTGAGGTTTTAGGAAGTGCATCCGACTCGTGTCTGTTCTTTGTCTTTCTCAGCGTGAACCCTTTCCTTATGTCGGCCAGCAGCGCATCGATGACGCACACCTCCTCCTGCTTCACCACTCCCTTCTTAACTGAGAGAGAGAGAGAGAATGGTGCCCCATGAGATGGGGCAGAAGGACACTTTGCAGTGACGCTATTGCTTGGGGCAGGTACTGCTGTCCTGGTAAAAGCAACCACTGGGCAAAAGCAAGGCACCGATGCCAGGCCTGGGAGCAGCCCATGCTCCGTGCCCCTGCAGCAGCGTGTCCTGGCTGAAGCCAAAGGGTCTACCCGAAAGCCTGGGTGCTACAGGCTGGCACCAGTGGCACTGGCTCTGCCCGTCCTTGCGCCCAGTTGTACCAAGACCTTGAAACACCTCCTGTTTGCTATCCGTGTTGGTGGGGACCTTTTTTCTGTGGGGTGGGGTGGGGGGAAGGAAAAGGACCTTGAATTTTCTTTCCTCTCAGCTTCTTCCGATTGTACTTTTCAGTTGTGCCTTTTGTTTTCATCCAGAGAAAGGCAGATTTAAGTTATCTGCAAGATTTTTGGGATGTCGGTAGTCTCTGGTAAAGACAGACTATTCAAGTGTATATGGGGATTTTGCGGGGGGGGGGATCAAATGTTTCTTGTTAGATTTGGGATTCAAAAGTTATGTTTAGAAACTGAAAAAGTTAACTGAAATGTTTCAATTTGATTTTTTTTTCTCTGCTGTTCAGTCAGCAAACCTAAAATTAACTTCTCTGCCCAGCTGCAACTGTGAAAAGTCAATTCTTAGCTATGGCTGTAAGACACCTAAAAGCCTTTAGTCAGCCAGCACCTGGAAACCCACAAAATAAATTACCTCTACTGGTCCATTAAAACAGGACCAGCAAAGAGCTCCTGTCGGCTCTCCCAGCCAATTTGGGATCGCAAGTCCATCTCCCTTTTTTGAAGCCCTTTCAGATACTCACTGACTTTTCCATTTTCTCCCTTCTGTCTCTTCCCCTCTTCCTCTTCCAGCTGTTTCTTCCTCTTCTCTGCTTTGGCAGCTTGCTCCTTTCTGTCCTTGTTTTCCTGCAGTGAGGTAACAGGGACATAAGAAGGTTGGCTAAATGTCTGCTAGAAAAGTCAATGATGAGAAAGATGATCTGCAGGTGGTTGCAAAGGAGGAAGAGAAATTCTGGCCTTATCCTGTGCAATAAAGAAAATGGGCATGGGGAGTAAGGGCTGTCTTGCCAACAGGGTGAGAGGGACACCACTGCCTTGGCCAGGACTCTGCCACATCCCAGTAGGAGGTGGCAGCAGTGACCTGCCTAACACAGCTACCTACCAGCGTGCAGATCTTCTGCCTGACCATTAGCTGAGGCAAAAGTGGAAGGTACTGAAGCCACAATTTCCTCCAAATTGGTGGCCTTTTTACTATACATCCTCTTTCTGAGCCTGTTTGCTCAGGTTGGAGTGAAAGGTTAAGTTTCATAAGATCGTTCCTCTAAAACTTACACACTTGACTCCAAAGCATCTTTGTGACTCTGCAGCTAAAGCTCCACTGAAATCACAAGTCACCAGGGCCTGGGCCAGGCCAGGAGCACCAGCACTGCATGAGGATGCAGTGGAGCAGGGATCAGACACCCCTTCCCCGGATGACCTCATGCCAAGCGCTGAAAGGAGGGGGCTGTAACCAGCGGATTTGGGTGCCTGTCCCACCTCTGTCTGTCGGAGCAGAGGCATGCACCAGTACTAGGGATGCTCAGCATCATGTGCGCAGATGCCAACCTTCAGGGCTCGAATGAAGAGATCTCTGAAGGTCTTCATGGTGCTAAATATGTCCTCTAAGGACAATTTGCTTGGGTCTTCACAGAGATAATTTGCAAGTTCTTCTCTCTTCCTTTCAATGGTTTCAAATTCTTCTTCCAGCTTTCTGGAGGCATCAATGCTATCCTGAAATGCATTTAATATACACAGTAAAACACCATCCAGAGGACAATGAGTGAAGTGCACTTAAAGAAAAAAGGATGTCAACATAAGAGCTTCGAGCAGGGCTCTGGAGCCCTGGTGTTTAACTTCAGCAGAGCTTATGGGGTGGGAAGAAACTGAGATTTGCAGATGATCTTTGCTCCTGGTGACTGTGCTATTGCCAGTTTACAGGGGTGGCTTGAGCAAGACACGGAAAGCTCAATGCAAAGCTTAATCCCAAAAGAAGGGGTTTACTCTGGTGATCCACACAGAGGGTGAACATCTTCACTCAAAGTGAGGAGTCACACAACAGAGTGGAGAGAACAGTTGGGGCGGGGGCCTTTGGTATCTAGGTTTTGGGTGGAGGTGGCAAATAAACACCGATGGGTTGTGTGGCATCACAGCCTATTTCCAAATTTGAGAGCATGTCTTGCGGCAATATTTTCCGCCCTTTCATGAGCCTCTTCAGCTGCATATGTACCCTGCACTGCCTCTGTGTGTGTAACGGGGGAGATATAAGGGAGTTCCATTACTGACCTGGATAGGTTTCTCATACTGTTGTTTCACATCATCGTTTGATGATAAGACCTTTCGCTGAAGCTCCAGCAACTTCTTTAAATTGGTACTGGACTCCGTGCGTATAATATCAAGATTAATTCTGAAATCACATGGAACTCCATATTAGTTGACACTCCAGCATCCTGCACTGACCAAAGAGTGGACAAGTCTGAGCTGGTGGTTTGGTTGTCCCTCTGCTTGCCACCACTTCACTGAACTGAAACCTGAGCTCTGAACTCTCTATAGAGTCCGAACTCATGGAAAACAGCCTCCCTCCACAGCACTTATGAAAAGGCTGCCAGGTCTACCTACAACTTTGTGTGTTGTGTAGATGAATGCCCCCAGAAAAGTCCACCTGTTCTCCACCCTCGGAGCTCGGCATTAGCTCACTTTCCCTGGTTGAAGGCACTTCAGAAATGCTTCTGGGTAGTTGGCCTTCAGAAGTTCCTGCTACCACAAAGGCAGTGCAGATTTTGGAAGGGCCTGGGAGGCAGCATTAACTGAACGCTCTGCAAATTTCAGCCCTAAGTGTTGCCAGCTGTAGTAGAACGATGGGGTTTCAACATTCATCAACCAAATCCTTCGGTTAAAACTAAGTAAGATGCCATCTTGTTAATGTGCTATACCAGCTGCGTGTCCCCTAATTTCTGGTACATTGTTGATGTGTATGGAATTTATTTTTGTTTTTAATTTGAAGGAAGTGACACACAATTTTACCCTGCTGCTTTTGAAACATATTCAAGATCCTTTGGCAGTTCCAGTAGGTCCGTGTGGCTGTTTTCTACCTCCTAAAGCGCAAGAGAGAAAGAAGTGTTATTTGCTGTGTAGTAGGAGCTGAGAGAGGAAGGTGGGGGGAAGAGACATGGGCAGAAGTGCTCAGGAAGGACAACTGCGGTATGTCCTGCTGCTGCTCCCCTTCTGCAGTTTGCTTTGCCTCGCACAGCCAAGCCGCATTCAAAACAGGATGGCACGTTCAGAGAGGGAAGGCATTGCTCCCAGGCTATAAAAACATACAAGAGGGCTGAATGTTGAGAAATACTCATAGTTCAAAGCAAAGCTGACCTGCTGCTGAGCTCTTCTTCTACCCTCTTCTGAGACACCTACTTTCGGCCATGGGAGGAAGCAGGCCTGTGGTTTGATGCAGTCTGACACTTCCTACAGTCTCAGAAGAGTATCAAAAGGGCTTAAATCTTATTTGCATAATTTACTTTCATGGTTGTGCTTGCTGAAGCTACTGCCAGCTAAAGCAGGGCTTGAACATGCATAACTGGAATGGAAGGACCTTGATGAATGAAGGTGGCAGAGCAGAGCACGGAGAAAAAAGGAAAAAACAGCATTGCAGGGAATAAGAAAGCCATGGGGGCTTGGAGAGGAGCATGAAAAGCTCGGACATAGTCTGGTGGAAAAGGGAGAGGCCATGGAAAGGCAGAAGGGCTGAATGGGTACAGACCAGCCAGGATAGCTTTGGTAGCCATGTGCTCTGTGGTTTGCAGCTGATGATGTGGAGATAGCACAAATACAAAAAAGGAAGTTCCGGACATTGTGGGGGAAGATGCTGGAGGAAAGCAGAACAAATCTTAAAATAAGGAGCTTCCTGAGTAGTGCCCACAAGCAACCTCCACCAGCCAAAGTGATACGAACGCTCCCAACTTGCGACACTGCAGCTAGCCAGGGAGGATACGAATATGAGCGTGTGGCACTAACTGAAAGTAGAGTAGGAGAAATGGTTCATCTGTGACAAAATCCTCCCCCTTCCCTATCACCCAGGACTTGGCAGTGGTACCTCCAGAATATGGTGGAGCAGCGTAATGCGGGTTTGGTTTGCTTTGGTTTCTGTTAGTTTGAGTAAAGTGCTGATTTTAAACCCATCGGCATCGCCTGTGTGACTTCCCTACAAGATAGAAAGAAAGCAGATGTAACTCCTGTGTCCACCCAAATTACAACCCTAAAGGAGATCATCCACATACTGTAATGGGGGGAGGACAAGACAAAAGAAGTCCTTACGTAGTTCAGAAAGTTTCCGACTTTGAGAATCAGTTGACAAAAGAGCGGCAGGCGATGACTGTTCAGAAGATCTGAAAAACATAAAGGACTTTTAAACAAAAGCCTCTGTTACACCAGAACATTTCCTGGTGTAACTGCACTGAAATTGGGATTCTGAATTCCACCAAACCAAATCTGATATTTCAGCTTTGCAGCCCAATGGCCCAACCTGCAGAGAAACTGATTCTACATAGATTCAATCCCACGAGTTGTAAAAGTTTCTGTTGACTTACGTTTCTTTCTTTCTTTACATCTGGTCTCTCATTCCTGATGGAAAATAACCTGAGTTGGACCCTCCTCACTAACAGCCATCAACTCGTTGCCTTCCTTGGAAGTACCCCGATTTACCCTGGTGTGGATGAGGGTAACTGGGCTGCAATTTTAATCTTGCAGACTCCGTTCAGCTGTGCAGTGAAGCCAGTTCTGACAGCCCTGCCATTATCTGCCAGCCACTAAAACCAGACACGCTCGCCCTGTTCTTGGTCTCGCATGGTGGAGGTGATTATCAGGGCATGAAGGGTACAGTCCCTGTCCTTGCTCTTATGACAGGGTGCTGCAGTGGTGTGCTTTCTGAAGTTCTCAGCTTTGAGGCAGGAACAGCTCCAAAAGGACAACTGGGCTGCTGGGAAAACACTTTCTGGGGGAAGCTTCAATTTATCCCAGCAGGCAGCTGTAATGCCAGCTGAAGAAACCCCTGGCAGGAGTTGGGGTAACTGGTCCTGTAGGACAGGCAGCACTTGACAGTGCCAAGAAGAGATATCCTGCTCTCAGCAGAGTGGGACCTGAGGTTTCTGCCACAGGAAGCTGAAACCTATTGCATAATCTCTCAAAATAACAAACTTTTTCTTCTGGTTCCACTTGTAGGCAGGGAAGAACTAAAGCATCACTACTTTCTGGGGGAAGTTTGGGGTGTGCTTTTCTGGCAGCAGAGAAAATTGCGGTGTGAAGGTCTTAACGTGGTAAATAATGCTGGATGAATTAGCTGTAACAGGGCCAGCTCCGCTGTCTAAATTCAGCTCCTTTGAAAGGGCTGACAAGCTTCCAATGCTTCCCTGTTGCAAGTGTTTCAGAGGAAAACAGCTGCTGCAGAAAAAGAGGCCTGAGGGTGAGGGAAAATTATCTCTGGTCCTATTAAGGGCTTTGACCATCAGTGGAGATACCTAAAGCTGCACCCTGTATTCTGCAGCAAACCAGTGAATGGACCACAGGGGACTTTTTTGGGGGCTGTGTAGACTCACTGCAGAGCTCCAGGGGAGTTTTTGTGGGGTTTACAGCTTCCTGTCATAAATAAGACCCAGAAATAAGGTCAGGTCATTTACCTTCGCAGGCTCTCCGGATGGCTTCAGCTTTCGGCTGAATCATGTCCAGCACAACGGTGGTCTCTTCACAGATCAGCATACATTCAATGCGCAGCTGGTAGCTAAGGACAGAGATTGATTCAAAGCTTAAGGGCACTGTGATCTTGGCCAGCACAGTGGCCCTCTTCCCACATCACCAGTAAGTCTGGCAACCCCACAACATGGCTGCCAACCTCATCCACATCATACCAGGGGCTGCCGCTTGCCTTGGGGATCAGTGGGGATGTAGTTTCTGCTGACGCACTGTGATCAGCAAAGAGAAGACTGACCACCGTGTGTGATATGGGGTCCCCCTTCTTAGCATTGCATTTGGCACTGCCTTTGTTATGTGGCTTCCTTGGGCAGGTCTGACCCTGGGTCTGGGCCAGCTTCTGCTACTTCAGAGGGAGAGGAGGTGCTGGAGCAGCAACAGCCTTTCATCTAAGAGTAAGGGGGAATGGATGGCTCTGAGGTGGAAGGGGGAATCCACCAGCTATATCCATCAGTGTCTGTCTGTGAGGCTCCTGTAAAGAAACTTAAACTTCCCAGAAGTAAACCCAGAAAAAGACTGGGCTGAAGTTCATGACCAACACCCTTACCTGGGAATCTGAAGGAGGAGAAGATAAAACTGATCTGCGTTTGCAAGCTTTGATTTCTCCTCTTTGAAGGCTTTCACGTTTTCTATCTAATGAGAAATAAAGAATCAAGTATGCAGGACTGCACTGCGTGTTCAGCTCTGTGAAGTAAGGGTACCATTTTTCCTCCTGACCTCATGCTTTTCAGGCAGCAGCTTCAGCAACTGCTTCAGAACCTCAACATCGAACTTGGTCCGGTCCCCGTTCTGGACCATGGCAGCCACCTCTTCGTTGGAGCTGCAGGGAGGAGGAGCAGAGTCAGCTGTCACCCGAAGGCCCCTCTTCCACAATCGCACACTACCAAGACATGTATCTGTGCAAGTGCTCCGTGCTTTCCCTAGTGAGAGCCACAATAATCCAGAAGGAAAGATATGTCCCTGTCATTAACTCAGAATCAGGACCTGGATCCCTGCTATGCCCCAAATTTTGTTTCTGGCCCTAGTCTAATGACTCAAGGCCAGAGATCAATCCTGCAACTCAGATGACTCTCTCTGGGCATTTGATTACCTTAAAAAAAAAATTTCATTCTTAACTTCTCCTTTGGCCCTGTTTTGAAGAGGGGTTTGACCTCCAGAGGTGTCTCACAGCCTAAGTCACCCTAAGAGTCTGTGCCACAACTTTATCTGTCACATGGAGATGTAATGCCTTTTCCAACTTACAGGGATGTTGTAGGTAAAAATGCAATTAAACCCCTACACCCAGTATTTTAAAGACAGTATAGGAGAAACTGGGAAATGTTCAGATGTTTCAGTAACATAGACCACCAAAGCACATTGGCTAGAATAGATTTCATGAGGACCGCCCAGATACTGTGCAAAACCTGCTCAAAGTTTTGTCAACTGTCATGAAAATTGGCCATATCTTACCATTTAAATTGCTTCAAAAATATGTTCAAATTGAGACTTTTCTTGGAGTCCAAAAATGTGATCTTCATTAAAGAAAAAGAAGATATCTCGTATTAGATGAGCTGTCTGCAGTGATCTTTATGCGAAAGAACGAGAGGGACCTCCTCACCTCCTTCGGTTCTGCCTTCACTGGTGCGGCCGTTTTCTCCTTGGGGGTTGGTTGTGGAAAGCAAAACAGCTGCTCTATGCTTGTGTAATTGGGCTCTATAGTTTCCTCGCTGCTGCTGCTCACTGAAGCCCACATTGAGTGACTTTCTGAAAAAAGACAAGGTATTCAGACTGGCTACAGGGACAGCTGAAAGCTCCTGGCTTTCGGGGCAATGATGTGAGTTGCTAGAAAGGGCACTTCTCAGAAGATGAATGAAATAAGAAGAGACATATTAATCCTGAACAAATGCTAATTATTTAGGAGGGACAAGTCCCACAAACAGGATCCAAAGGGCCTGAAGGGTAATTAAACCTGGTGCTTTACCCCAAGATGCGCTGGTAAGGGGATGCAGCAGTGGGCACACAGAGGCCCTACGGCCCCATCCCTCCCTATACAATTGCATTCTCCTCCACGGTAGGCAAACCAGATCAGCATGAGAAGGACCTCGTCCATTTATTTCCTAGTCCCATGGCTGATGTTATTTTTGCTTCCTTGCATGCTAGCTGAGGGATTGGCCACAACCTGGACATTTTCTGACTGTGGCCTTCCTCCATTTTTAATTTTATAATCGAGCCTCCTTGTATAATGCTGGCTATAGGACTGCTTGAATTAATTCCCATTGCACTTCCTTAAAAATTACAAAAAAAAAAAAAAAAATCACCCAAACGTGCCTGTAGAAGTCTCTACAGTAATAATCCCAACAATTAACTGCTCCTGTGATTGAAAACACGCCTTATTTAGACTTCACCTATGCCAGCTTCCATGCAGTGGATGTCTTGCTTGTCTAGGACAAAGCTGACGTTGCCTGTCCTGGCTTCTTCTCACATTTCATGCTTCTCTTTGGATCCACTAGGACAGGGAAATGTAACCCAAAAATCAAGAGACAAGTCAATGATTCTCATGGCTCTCCAATTCTTTCAATGTCGTTCTTGAACTGTGATGTGATCCTTGCCTGCACTATTACTCATAACTTTAGTATACCCAGACGCAAGTAAAGATGACCTGGAGAATGAAAGTCTGGGGAATCCAGATCAGAGCCTGTTGAGAACTCAAGCCTAAAGCATATCATGGTGGATTAGGGAAATATTCCCATCCCTCCCCCTTCTTTCAATTTCAAAGAATTTTAGTTATAAACAAGCTATTCCAAACCACTGATTTAGTTGGAATGGTTATTATATTATGTTAGAAGTTTCAGGCCACTTCTATTTAAGCTCTGCAGGTCAGATGTAATGGAAATCAGGGAAGTTCTGTATCTAAATGGAGTCAACCACATTTGACAAACTCAAAGATAGTGTTTTCTCCCCTGGATGACCCCTAAAGCAGCAGTGACTTTATGACAGAAGCACCCACCTCTCACCACATTGGAGGGCAGCTTCTGCCAGTTCAGCTTCTTCATTCTCAACGTTGGCGTCTTCACCGTCTTCCAGGGAGGCCTGCCCGAGCCAAGAGGGCAGCTGAATTGAGAGGCCACCATGGCTTCTATAGGATCGCCTCCCATGCCAGGCAGGAACAGAAGCACCCACCTCTCACCACATTGGAGGGCAGCTTCTGCCAGTTCAGCTTCTTCATTCTCAACGTTGGCGTCTTCACCGTCTTCCAGGGAGGCCCGCCCGAGCCAAGAGGGCAGCTGAATTGAGAGGCCACCATGGCTTCTATAGGATCGCCTCCCATGCCAGGCAGGAGGGGTGGAGGGGGAGGGATGCCACCCATGCTGGGCAATGGGGGTGGAGGGGGAGGGATGCCACCCATGCTGGGCAATGGGGGCGGAGGGGGAGGGATGCCACCCATGCCGGG